CCTGTTTGGTTAAAGCGGAACGAGCGCGGAACGAGCGCGGAACGAGCGCGGAACGAGCGCGGCTCCCCTACACCTTGTCCAGCGCAACCCCGTCCGGAGCGGCGGCTCCTTAATCCCCCTCCCCAATGTATTTAATATCTCGCAATGGAGATCTTGCAGATTAAGATGATATCACAGGCTGGAAAATAAGGGAGGGGGAAAAAAAAAGAAGGAAAATATAGGGGAAAAAAGGGGGAGAGAACTCAGCTGGTAATTTGCGGGAAGGCTGGAGGGGGCGAGGGACTGTTCTTTATACAAAGAAAAGTCGATTCCAGAAATTGCCTCGCGATTTAACAAGAATCATGCACCACTAATTCCAAGTCACTCGGCCAGCACTCCCTGGATATATCATTATCGACAGATAACACTCGAGTGGCCAATTTTACATTCAAGAGGTACTAAAACCGCCGGCCGCTCTCTCTTTTCATTATTCCCAGTCATGTTGTGCAAATATTGTTGTAATCCTTTGATCCTTTCCCTTGCCGTCTGTTTTACTTCATTTGCTACAGAAAAGCACTTCACCAAATCCCCCCAGCTTGTGTGTTTTGCAGCCTGCGTGGTTTTCCCCAGGTTTGAGTTTCGCCACTTGATCACGGTCAGGAGGAAAATTTCCTGTTTAATAAATGCGGGGAGAAGGGTCCCGCTTGGATTTTGCCCTTTTTTTAGATATATATAATTCTCGGTGTATGCCTAGAAATAATAACCCATAACACAGGGAGAAAAAAAAGGAAAGCAGATGATGGGAAAGTGGATGCGCTGCGAGATTGGGATGACATTTGGCGAGGTGACAGCTACAAAGTCCCCCCCGTCCCCTCGCCAGCCCCGACCAAGGAGACCCTGGCTACAATACACTTTAAGGGCGGGTTTTTTTTTCCTCCTTATTTTCCCCTTGGAAAACTGGAAAACGACCAGTTTGGTTGGTTTTCCCCGTCTTTGCGGTGAGGTTAAAGCGTTGGGACATTTGCGGGTTGAAAGAAAAAAGAGAGAAAGAGGGGGGAAAAAAGGAAAAGAGAAAAGGGGAAAAAGGAGGGAAAAAGAAGGAGAAAAAAGAAGAGGAAAAACTAACTCATGCGAACCTGCCCCTCTAAATCTGCGGGATGCCTGAAACTACTATATAAATACGGGAGAAAATGAAGCAAATCCCGGTAATTTCGTAGGGATGGAACGTTTACAGAGGGAAGAAGCTGAATATTGGGGAGAAGTTGGATGTTGAGGTCGGGACCC